GAGGGGGACCTGGACATGTTCATCCCCCTCTCCACCCTCCTCCAGTTCTTCTTCTATGCTGGCTGGCTGAAGGTGAGACATGGCCAGGCAGCTGGGCTTTGCTTTATGGACAGGGGGTGGCCAGCTGGCCCTGAGCACCCCATGGGCCAGGGCGTGGCTGGCCCAAGGCATGGCACCAGCCATGTCACTGCTAGCTGCCCCTGGGGACACATCCTCCCAGCCCAGCCATCATACCAGGGCACCACACAACTCCAAGTCTGCATGTTTCATGTGCCCCAAGGGTGGACTGAGGGATGTAGAGCCTTGGAAGGTGTCTTTGTCCCTGCTCCCCTGTCTCACCTGGTCCCCTCCCTCCCAAGGTTGCAGAGCAGATCATTAACCCCTTCGGAGAAGACGATGATGACTTTGAGACCAACAAGCTGATAGACAGGAACCTGCAGGTGGGTCCTGCCCCAGGCTCATGTTGTGTGGGGCTTCTACAATCAGGGCACGATATCCCTGCACCCTGGCAGTGGGACCTGTGCCCTGCTGGTGCCCACCCAGCCCTGCTCCTGGCCATGCAGGTCCTTCTCCAAAATAGATTCCCACACAAGGAAGCAGGGCTGCACCTTGTCCCTCCACCCGTCCCTCGTGTGTCTGCTCCCCACAGCAGTGTCAGCACTCCCCCGAGGGACACTCAGCAGCCTGGCACTGCTGCTCAGCCCCTCACCTCTGAGAAATGTTCAGAAGAGGAAAACCTCAAATGCAGCCAGGAGATGGGCCCGGATCCTTCCTGGTCCCTTGCAAAGCTCAGCCCTACCCCTGCCAGATCGGCAGCGGGAGCAGCATCTGCAGCCACTGGCCCTGATGTCCTTGCGAAGCCACCCCTGTCCCCTGCCTTTGCTGTGCCCAGGTGTCCCTGCTCTCCGTGGATGACATGTACCAGAACCTGCCCCCAGCCGTGAAGGACAAATACTGGAACGAGTCCACAGCTCAGCCCCCCTACACCACGGCCACAGCTGCTGAGACCTTGAAGCCCTCATTCCTGGGCTCCACCTTCGACATGCGGTGAGTGCACGGCAGTCCTGGGGCTGGACAAACAGAGGGAGAGTGCTTCAGGGTAGCAATAGCATAAGCAGGCTTGTTCTCCCCCTGGGCCCAATTACAGCAAGCAAACAGCAACCCCCCCCTTGGGAGTGCGTTGCCCAGCCCCTGTGCGGCTTAGGGGCTGCACTGGGTGATAGATGAGCTGCTGAGGCAGGGACATGGCCTCCTGGAGTTGTTCCCTGCTTGCAAATGCACTGGGATGGAGGTGGTGAGTGGTGCTGGGCATCCCCATGGATGGCAGCCCGTCACCCCACCGTGCTCCCCCAGCATGTGCGAGGACCCGGAGCAGAACCAGCCGGTGGAAGCCTCACCAAGCGCACCACGCATCCAGACACCTCTGCTCAGTCGCTTCTTCACTGCTGCATCCCCTGCCATCAGCATCAAAAACTTTGGCTGGGGCAGCCGAGGCCACCCCCACCTCCGACGTCCCCGGGTGGATGGCGGCTTCCCCTCCCCTTATCCCAACCGCTCCGAGGACCCCGAGTCGGTGGCCCGCATCGAGGAGGAGGAGACGGAGGATGAGGAGAGCCAGGCCAGCGAGCCCACCACACCTGGTTGTTGCCTGGGGGAGACCCGGCTGCTGGAGGCCTCCGAAACACAGAGGAAGGAGCTGCCGCTGATCCAGGTGAAGGCACCATCCAGCGACAGCATCGGGGCTGACCGGCCAGAGGCCTGAGAGCCCTGAGGCTGCCCCAAAAGCACCCCTTTCCCCAAGGCACTGCCACTACCAGCCACAAAGCTCCCTGCCCCGACACCCTTCCTCAGACCCCCTGTCCAGAAGCAGGACATTGCCAGGTCTTTTGCCAGCCCCAAGCCAAGATGTCTCCTCAGGTTGATGGGAAGATCCTGGTGGGGTTGGTTCAGCAGCCAGTCTTCGACACTAGCTATTAGCCCCAGACCTGCAGGATTCAGCTCATCTGTGTGATGCCACTGACTTGCAGCTGGCCAGGCTCGCTCCCTGCTCCCATGGCCCAGAAAAGGGCACAGGGGACAGCCCAGACCCCAGGCAAGGGCCAGGATGAGGCCACTAAGTCTTGCAGAAAACCAACACCATGATGGAGATGTCCCCTCAATATTAATAAAGCTATTACCAGCCTCAGCTTTGAGGTTCTTCCTTGTTGGTGCAATTGATCCCCAGCAATGAGACAGCAGGGACACTACATTTATCCAAAAAGTGGGTGAATTTGGATTGTGTCAAGGAGTGTGCACATTCTCCCGGGGCAAAAAGGGCACAGCCCCAAGGACCCTGTAATGGTTGTGGGGTATTTGATACCAAGCCAGAAAAAAAACAGAAATACACTTTCAGGCCCTGTAGAAGGATTCCCGCACTCAGACGTGTGCTTCCCATAGGAATATTAGCAGAGCTGTTAAAAAATTTCCTTTCCTGCAAGCCCCCCTTTCCTAAAATCACCTTTAAAGCTCCTGTCTCCTGCCAGCAAGCCAGCCCTGCTCCTCCTCTGCTACCCTCCAGGCCACTGCTGGACCTGTTAAAGCATAACCATGGGGTCATTTCCTGGGTTGGACCACGTCCCATGAAAATACCCCAAAGTTAATACAGTGTGGAGCTGAGAACCACTCAACAGGCAGCAGGACTCAGGATGATGTGACCTCACTTGAGTTAAACTGCTGGCTGCTCATTGTATGAGTAGGTTTTTTTAAATTCAGCCCTCACACCTATCTGCAGAAATGGGTAAGGTCCTTAGACCAGGCTTTGGCACCTCATAAACCCAGCCAGACTAAAGCTGTGCTTAACCCCAGCCCCTGCCCTCATCTTTCTGGCTCAGGGTGTGGCAGGCTTGCTCCTCCTAGGCAGGCCAACCCTTGCACACATCCACAGGGCTATGCCAAGGCCAGACCAGAAACCATACATCCCATGGCCAAGCCACACGAGGTCCCGCAGTCCATGCCACCGTGGGAACCAGGTGCCACCGCCCCATTCCCATGTCACACAGCAGGCGGTGGAGGGTGACAGGTGCTGCTTCTGTTCCCACGGGCTGTTGCCCTTGGGCAGCTGCGTTTTTGAGAGCAATAACTGCAAGCAGCGTGCATTGATGAATTGGCCATAATCCTGTTCATCAGGGGCCAGGTTTACAGGTCCTTCTCTGACATCGAGTTCGTATTTGCACTCCAAGTTTCTCCATCTGTACAAAGTTCCCCAGAAACACCCTGAATCCTGTTTGTACTCTGTGGAGGGAAGGGGAGAGAGGAGAAACATGCCAAGGAAGCAGCCATGACTCATCACTCCCAAGTGCCGTTTATCGCCTCCACCCCACCTCTCTGGAAAGCAGTCGTTGCTGGAGAGCAGGGAAAGTTTACCCCAGATTGCTATGGAGAAGGAATGTGCTTGTGCAAACGTCCTGCCCAGCCCAGGTCCCACTGCTAGTTGCACCCTGCTGGGCACGGCTGCTGGTAGCACCCATGAATGCAGACCTGAGCTGCAAGGCAGCGCCAATGCGCCCACTGTGGCACAACAGTGCTGCTGCAGACACCCCAACAGGTACTGTTTTCTGACAGGGTTGGTGTGTCACCATCTGTGGCACAGACCCATCCTCGGCTCCCTGCCAGCAAGGCAGGACAAACTCACACTGCCCAGGGCACCCAAACTCACGAGCACCTCCTGCTGCCACACACAGCAGCCTGGGCAGAGCATCACAGGAAGAACTTGAACAAAAATACCAAGCACAAGCTATCCGTGGGGGACACAGTCTGCGTTTTAAAGCTCTAAAGACATGGGTCTCAGCTCTGCTTGGGGCAAGACAATCACAGATCACCGCCTTCAGTTCAGAGCTAAAAACATTGAAGCTGGGGTGCAGGCAGCCTGCCTCACCCCAGAGTGCTCCTGTGGGTAAAGGAGGCTTTTGTAAAAACACGTAAGTGGGGTGAAGTGTGCAGCATGTCCACTTGGCAGATGAGTCTGGCCTCCCACCACAGCCCCAGGACAGCTCCCAACTTCACCCCAAAACATGCACAAAGCATCTGGCAACTAGAGGCAGAGATCCACCACACTGGCTTTGTTTAATGGCAGAATGCCTGAGGAATGATATCACATGCCCCAAAACACTCAGAATGTCTTTCACACCACAGCTTTCCGATCCCACCACAAGTGACAGTGCAGAAAGCTAGTTTGTACCCAGCTTTCGAAAGGGACAGACCATGATGAGAACCTGGCCCTTCTGCTAGAAGGAATTTATCTTGCACTGGAATGAGACCAAGGAGGTCAGGGAAAGACCAGCCGGTCACTGAGCAGTGCAGCCAAGTTTGGTTAAAAGATACCGGGCCCTGAAGACAATTGTGCAGGCAAAGCAGGAAACACAAAGCAATGGCAAAAGGGGCTGCTGGCCTGAACCAGGGGATGTGAGCACATGTGATCTGAGGAGAGGCAGGAGGTACCAGCTGCAGAGGCCACTGGGGTCAAGACACAAGTTTTCAACTCTGCATTTGTGCCAAGTCTGGCTGAAGACACAGCGCTGTGGGTGCAGAGCTGCTCCCTGGAGAACCCACTCCTGAGGCAGCAGGGCCGTTTCCCCCTTTCCCTGCTGCCCTCACTCCAAGACCCAAAAACGCTTGTGCTGACCCAACACACCAGCAGAAAAGGGGGACGCATGCCCAGCCAGACTCCAGCAGCTCCCAGGAAGCTGGACATTTGCACCTTCCTTCTGCACACAGGTTTCCAGCACTGAAAATTCACCACTTCAGCAAAGTCTGACAACTCTTTTCCAAACCCACTTGGTCCATTAAGTCAGTGTCCTAGAACCCAGGGAGGTGTTTTAGTCAAGACCATGCAGAGTCAGAGCTTGCCTGGAGACACAAAAGCGCTCAGGGATTCCAGGAGATCCTTCTCCTTTCACACTTTACTGGCAGGAGGACCTACGCAAACCCCCTCCACTCTGCACACACAAATGAGCACACAACCCTTTTTACTGTAGTAGACTCTTGGTTTTATTCGTTCTCTCAGCAGAATAGTTTTTATTCATTTGCCTTTTCTGGCCTTGATTTTCCTCAAGTAGAACTCTAATTCCTTGCCTTCCAATACATAGCCATCGGCTCGGCCACACTGTCCAGGTCTGGAGGCAATGCAGGCTGCAAGGAGAAGGCATCCAGTTAAAGTTGAGTAATTCACCACCCCAGCATAGACACCAACTGAAAGAAACACTGCAAGCAGTCTCCCTGCAGAAGCACAGACGAGCAAGTAACAGATACACCAGTTTATGTGCTGGCTTCAGTACCTCCCCCTAAGGTATCTTGCTTTTGAACCCGCTCTCTGGACCGAATCACTAATGAAGTTCTCTTCAGATCTCCAGTGTCATCATTCAAGTTCAGTAGCAGAACTGGACAAAGGTCTCATCACCAAAAGACTTCAGAACACTGAACTATTTGCCAGAACTCAAAACCAGTCAAAGCTGTTACGTGCTTGTAGGACATTTTTCTGACACACAGTGCAGCTCATGGATCTTTGCTCATTTTTCAGGTCCTGAGCCCCGTTATTTTTCTCAAGGGCCAACCAGGAATAATCAACTCTAGGAGCCTGGCTGGGACATGTAGCAATTCAAGCTCCAGAAACAATTTCCCCATCCTGCCACAAGTAGGGTATTCCCAGAGAAGATGACAGAACAAGTTACATTTAAACCCAGAAGATACCCCTGCAGACATGGAGAACACCCCACAGCTTTCACCCTGCAGTTGGCTTTACCACAGCAAGCAGAACTTTAAGTGATCCTAAGATCAAGAATAAGATCTGCTCTGGCACCCTGTTTGTGCCCTGACTCCCTTATCCCCACCCACATTAGTGCTGCCAGGGACTCACCAAGCAGCTTTCCTTGCTGGAATTGCTCCTCAAGAATACTTGCTATCTTGGCATTCTTCTTTCGCTCATCGTATTTTTTCTGGATCTTCTTTGAACGCTTCTTGTTCAAGATTTCCTCCTCTTCAGGAGTCTATAAACAAGGCCGTAAACGAAGACAAGGTTAAGCATATGGCCACCTTCCACTAGAGCAGGTGGTCCCTGCTAATATGAAAGAAACTCTTGTATTCTCAGTGCAGCACTGTTTCCCAAGTCATACCTTCCTGGGGTACAAATACTTCAACCTCCCAGAACTAGGTGCTGTGTTTCACTTTTGAGGCCAAGGAATGCAATGGTGAAAACTAAGTTACTGCTGACAACAAAGCCCAGGGCCCTAGGGAAGGGTGCTCTTAGACAAATGAAACTGCAAAGGTTTCCTTGATGAATTAATTCCCCTCCAAAAAAAGTGAATACTCTTTCCCTCTCCACACATGAAAGCACTTGGGTGTGGTGCAAGTCCTGGCCAACAGGTTACAAGTTCTCCCTGTGCACAGTGCTCAGCTGTAAGTGGTGTGTTCTTAATGCAAGGAGACAACCTTAAGTTGAGTGCTATGCGTGGGGGTTTAAATTCCTTCTAGCAGTCTGGGTTTGGATCTTAAAACTTAAAAGGAAATAAAGGTCTGGATAAAGACACTTCAAAAACACTTCAAAGCAAGCTGAAGTTTAGTTAGCAATCCAAGCTTCTCATCAAAAGCAGTCATTCTACAACACAAGGACCCAACCTGCAAAGTCTTCCTCAGCATCATAAAATGTCATCGCTCTCCCTTCAGCAGCAGAACTGGACAAGGGTATCATCATTAGAAGACCAAAGAAATCGACAGGCAGGTCCTTGTGCACAAGCAGGTGCAATGCTTCAGAGAGCTCAGTGGTACTGAACGCTCCATTAACAGAGAGAGACTTATGCTGGGAGCTGATGGGAACGGAGCCCAGGTAACGCTATCGCTGACGGGTATCCAACCCTGTCCTGGCAGGCACTGTCTGCTCACGATGGCTAACTGCCTCTAGCAGAGCAGGCTCTGCTCTGCAAGGAGTCAGTATGACAACGACAATCCCAGACATACCAGTTTGGCGCCCTTCTTGCGTCCGAGGGGCAAAGCATAGTGGGCTTCGTACCACTGCCGGTACGGGGTGCTGTCGATGAGAACGATGCAATTCTTCACCAGGGTCTTTGTCCGCACTAGTTCATTGTTGGAAGCATTGTAGACGACATCAATAATTCTGGTTTTGCGAGTGCAGCCTTTCAAAAGAAGAGTATGAATTCAAACCTACAGGGATCAGACAACTGAGAATACAGTCCACAGTATCTCACACATACCCTCAAACCACCTCACACTCATCACCCCATCAAATGACCTCCAGCTTCCCTGACACCAAATTAAATTTAACTAAGAGAGGGATCTATTTTTCATCAGTCCCACTTCTGTTGCTAGGACAGAAGCCTACACCTGGAAACTGACTCATGCCAGATGAAAAACTGGGGTTCCAGTCTTGCTGGAACTCCTCTCAAATAAGACAATGCTAAAAAATAAATTTCTGGATTGTAAGATGCCCCAGCAGATGCCAACTAACACTGCATACAGGGCTCAAACCTCTACATACTTCCTAGAACTACTGGATTAAGCTGTGTTAAACGGGACTGCTCTGCAACACATACTAGAAAACACTTTATAGGACAAGTGTTTATGAGTAAACTGAAAGGGGAAGCTGGTATTTCCACCCTTCAAGACCCACCTGAAACATTCAGTCTTGGCTACTAGATTTTACTCTTTAGCCCACCCTGGAAACACAGCCTTCCATGTACAAAAAGGCCAGGCATGAGATGGGTTTTCTCCTCTTCACTCACGTACCTCATCTTTGTTCTGCAAGGTATGCTCAGTCCCTTTGCTTCTGCAATACTGCCTATGAATAACGGCACTTTGCACAGCATGGACAATGCTCTGTGATGACTGAGGAGAAAGCACATCCTTTTGCCCTCACCACTCTGGTCACTAACTACCACCTTTCTTACTGGTTTTACCATCATACTGAGTAACACTGACGAGGCCCAGGCTTAAGTTATATGGTTTTCAATTTGCTATTTAAAGAAAACCATAACCTTGCTCAGGAAAAATACATGCAAATTATGTGACAGTCCTAGGGACACACCTGCTCAGAAAAATCCTCAATATCTTTCTCTGTTGTACAGGATCATCTAACTTCTAGGAAGTGTTCACCAATAAACCAGAAAAGTTGTATTTATGAAGAACTACCCACATTTAGTTTTTTTGTCTCTCTGTAGTTGCCCTCCCCTCAGTAAAAAGGTAACACAAGCATGTCACTCAGTGTAACTATGACACTCCAATCACTGTGAACTTAAGAGACATCCAAGTCTCCTAAGGCCACATAAGGTCAAAATTCACATCACTGTGCACGCTGCTTCAGACCCAGTACTGCAAGCTCTACAGTGCTCCAGCCCAGACTATAAGTCCACCATCATCCCTCCACTCTGCAGCAGTACCACGGATCAGCACGGCTGTAACAGACTTTTCCCTTCCAACACATCAGGTGTACAATGTACTTACATTCCGATCCCCAGGAGAAGTTGCCAACATCCAACCGAAGGGCACGGTATTTCTTATTTCCACCACGAACTCTCACTGTATGAATTCGGCGTGGGCCAATCTATGGTCAGAAACAAACACCACCATGTTGTTGGTGCTGGAACGCTGCACAGCTCAGGCAGGAGCCCAGCCAACTCCTAAGCTCAAAGGCAATGTGGTCAGTGTAACTATGACAAACCCCAGCATCGGCAGATACAGTGAGTGACCAAAATGGTCTGTTGCATCTACCTAAGGTAAAAATTTCATCATTCCAATTGCCTCTTATTTCAGAAATGTATAACTGCTTTCTGCAGACAGAAAGAAATACCTTTCAGATCAGCAGCGACAGAGACTGCTCACAAAACACAGCACATGTTTAAACCTCTAAAAGCACATGACCAGCAACCCAACACGACTTACGCCTTCCCCAAATCACCCACCTTCGTATTGGCAGGAGGTCGCCCCAACTCATACTTCCTCTTCTTGTGGTAGGGTTTCCTTTTGCCCCCAGTCTTGCGACGCTTATGCCAGTTGTCCCTGGAGATACCTGAGCAGAGAGCAGCCTGGTGAGAGGACAGCACAGAGCCCACCTGGCCATGGCAGGGCACCGTTCCGAGTCCTCAGCTCTCCAAGGTTGGTATCCGCACAGTGCACTCAGCCTTATGCAGCAGTCAGAGAAGCTTCATCATTGAGACTCAGACCCTCCCTCCCAGCAGGGCTGTACCACACACTGAGTCCCTCCACCCGGTCCGAGGGTTGTAAGCCCGG